CATTGCTTATGTTGTTGAGAAAGGTCAATAGGTTGTTGGTCTTGCAAAATTCTATCATGTGATCTCCAACATTGTTTCTATTATCAAGGCTACGTTTTCCAACTATTGATTCTTCTGCTTTGTTTCCAACTTTCACATTCCAATCATCAGTAATTATCAATGCATCTTGACTGCATTTTGATCAATTTCAGACTGCAGAAGTTGGTAAAAATCTTTAATTTCTTCATCTTTGGCATTTGTAGTTGGTGCATAAATTTGAATAATAGTCATATTGACTGGTCTTCCTTGTAGGCGTATGGATATTATCCTATCACCGAAAGCATTGTATTTCAGGTTAGATCTTGAATTTTTTTTTTTTTTTAACAACTAATGTGACACCATTCCTCTTTAAGCTGTCATTCCTCATATAGTAGACCGTACGACTGTCCAATCCAAAATGGTCAGTACCAATCCATTTCAGCCCACTAATGCCTGGGATATCGATCTTTTTGCATTCCATTACATTTTTAATGACTTCCAATTTTCCTAGATTCATACTTTGTACCTTCCATGTTCTGATTATTAATGGATGTGTGCAGCTGTTTCTTCTCATTTTGAGTTGTGCTACATCAGCAAGTGAAGTTCCTGAAAGTTTTACTCCATCCACTTCATTAAGGTTAACTCTACTTTCAGGAGGCAGCTCTTCCCCAGTTGTATTTTGAGTGCCTTCCAACCTGAGGGACTCATCTTCCGGCACTATATCAGGCTGTTCTGCTGCTATTCGTAAGGTTTTCACTGGCCAATTTTTTTTACAAGTAGATCACCAGGTCCTTCTTCCTAGTTTATCTTAGTCTGGAAGCTCCACTGAAACCAGTCCACCATGGGTGGCCCTGTTGGCATTTGAAATACCAGTGGCAAAGCTTTCAGCTTCACAGCAACACACACCAGCCACCACACTACAATAAACTGACAAATGAGCGGTGGCTGGGAATTCCACATTTTCCTCTCCCTCAATTTTTGGAACTTTTGAAATCTGCTTTTCAAAGTGCAAAGTACTTGTCTTTGTTCATTTTTTCTTCTTTGACAACCAACAACTTTAAACTTTTTTGTTCCTTTTACTTTCAAATATTTATTCCATTTTTCATTGTTCAGGTTAATATAAATACCATCTAAAGGAGCCCTGGTAGCGCTGTGGTTAAAGTACTCGACTGCTAAAGGAAAGGTCGGCGGTAGGAAACCGTCAGCTGCTCCTCGGGAGAAACATATGGCAGTCTGCTTCCGTACAGATTACAGCCTTGGAAACCCTATGGGGTTGCTATGAGTTGGAATCGACTTGACGAGTGGGTTATTGCCTTCTAATGGCAAGTCACTGTACTAAATGCTATAGGAGATATAAAGATGACTAAGATTTACCTGCTTTCCTCATGAAGCTTATAAACTAATAGCAGAAACATGTGCATTGAGAACACAAGAAAGGGAATAATAAATGTTGTACTAAAGCTATTTTATTTTTAAAGGCAAGAATTAAGTCCAAGAGAAAGCTCCTTGTTTCCTCCTCAATCATAGACAGATGATAAAGTGAAGTACTAACACAGTAAAGACAGAAAGTTTGGACTAAGTTAAAAAAAAATTAAAGAGGAGTTGTATAATTAAAAAATAAAAAGTGTCTTTGTCTTTCCAGCACATTCCAGGGGAGAAGGCAAATGGATATTAGATAACAATCTGATCATATTCCATAATTCAAAGATTAGCTCATCATATGGATCAAATTACATTTTAAAATATATATTGGCACTAAAGGGTTAACATGGGCTTTCACTTTCTACATTACATATTTCTGTGAGGTCAGAATATTATAATGATCATGTATTACATTTATAATTAGGAAAAAACAATATGTTCATAAATACATATGCTGAGCTCCTATTAGGGTGAGACCTTGTACTAGTTCTATACAAAGGGATCTGTTAAGTTTTATTTTCAAAATGAGAAAAAAAATACTATTATTGCCCCTCCACCTCCCACCCCATTGCCCTTTAGTAGATTCCGACTCATAGCCATCCTATAGGACAGAGTAGAACTGGCCTATAGGGCTTCCAAGGCTGTAAATCTTTACCAAGCTGACTGCCTTATCTTTCTCCAGCTGAGCTGCTGGTGGGTTGGAACTGCCGACCTGTCGGTTAGCTGCAGAGCACTTAACTATTGAGCCACAGGGCTCCTTAAAAACTATTATAATATTTGAAAAATATGGAAAATAGAAAACTAAATAAATCTATCATACCAGCACAACTGTTACTGATGTTAATGATGTGTTTCTTTCTTCTCTCTTTTTCTGCATATTGGTGAGGTTGTTTTTAAGCGGTTAGATAGCAATATTTCTTAATAATATCTAATCACAAGAATAGGAATATTCTTTATTCCTGTTCTGTATTTTCCGTACCCAGTTCTGTATTTTGGCCCAGATGGAATGGTGGAATCATAGAGTGCTTACATGGGAAGGATCTTAGAGATCATCCAGAAATATTCAAACTCTTATATTATTTCCCCAGTACATAAAATCCATATTCTCCTGATATACTAGCTTGTAGATGGAGTCATATTAACAGTAATAATCCAAACTGTATTGGTACTTGTCCTGACCTGCTCACATAGGACTCTAATCTCCTAAGAAGTTCCCCCAAATTCTTTTGGGAGTTCAGATCATGTTTTAAATGCCTAAGAGCAAAACCAGTTAACTACAGCGCCAGTTACCGTTTTCTTCCCTCTTCTGGTCTAGCCCTCATAGGTTAGATATTGCTGAATGTCCTGGCACTGCTTCCTCCCTTCCATGAGGCACATAGTGGTCTTAGAAGCCTTAATATGTCAGAGTAGTTTAGCAATCTGTGGAGAAGCAGCATTGAATGCCTCTTTCATCATGTTTGGTAAAGTAGGGAGCCAACAAAAATGAGGCAAACCCTTAATGAGATAGATGGACACAGTAGCCACAACAATGGACTCAAACATACCAACAGTCATGAAGGTGGTGCAGGATTGGGCAATGTTTGTTCTGTTATACATTAGTCACCATGAGTCGGAGCTGACTCGACGGCAACTAACACCACCACCAATTAGAGGGGTCCTCAGCAGTGCCACTTGTGCCCTCTGTCTTACAGAATTTTTAATGAAATAGCACTTTAGGAATGTACTTGAAGCTTTGCCAACAGTGTTTGACCACAATGCTAGAAATGTGGAATCTCAGGCCCCATAAATCAAGAATTTGCATTTTAACAAGAGCCCCAGATGATTCCTATACACATTAAAGTTTGAGAGTACTGGCTGTCTTAGTCATCTAGTCCTGCTCTAACAGAAATACCACAAGTGGATGGCTTTAATAAAGAGAAGGTTATTCTCTCACATTCCAGGAGGCTTCAAGTCCAAATTCAGGGTATCACTTCCAGAAGAACGCTTTCTCTGTTGGTTCTGGAGGAAGGTTTGTGTCATCAATCTTCCCTTGGTCTAGAAGCTTCTCTGCACAGGAACCTCAGGTTTAAAGGACGCACTCTGCTCCCATCATTGCTTTCTTGGTGATATGAGGTTCCCATGTGTCTCTGCTTGCTTCTCTCTTTTATACCTCAAAAGACACTGGATTAAGACACTAACCAATCTTGTAAACCTCATCAGTATAATTGCCCCTAATCCATCTTACTAGATCATAGTGATTGAATTTATAACACATAAGGAAATCACATCAGATTACAAAATGGTACACAATTTTACAATAGTGGGAATCATGACCTAGCCAAGTTGACACATATTTTGGGAGGACACAATTCAATCCATGACACTGGCATAAAGTGTCTTCCTCTTCAAAGGACTAAGGCATGAATTCAATTAAGGGCAAGGGCAGTGTTGGGTGAGGAAATAAAGTGACAAATAACAGGCTGTTTGTAGATTCATCTCTTCCCTATGATGACCATATCTTTGTGACTGGGCAAAACTTGGAGTACTTAGCTCCTTCTCTTAGAATGAGTTCTCCCTCAGGAGGCTCCCTCACTTCTCACTGCCTCACAGAAATAGACTTCTGGTTCCTGCCACTTCTACTTCAGTTCAGCCAACATGGCTCAGGCTTAAACTAGGAATCCACCAGACTTACAGGAAATCTTACAGTACAGTACATATAACATATATTTTTATTTAATAAACATTGATTTACCATATATTATTTACAAATACTTCATGATAATCTGTAGGAACATGAAAATATAAATTTAAAAAATCTCTACCTTGAAAGGAGGTAAATGAAGAAGGTGTGTGTTGGGGCAGGTAGGGACCTTTGGGAAATAATTTGAGGAAGGAAATAAAAGGTTCTAAATGGTGCAGTGTTACTGTAGTTTGAAAAAACCACTGTTAAATCTTGTACCTACAGCCTGTGTGTGTATCTGCTGTAGAATGTTCTTCTTCCATTTCCATTTCTCTACATTCTTACCCACCTTCCATGGCTAATTTATCAACAAACTCTGTCCTAATTCGCTTAGCTAAATATGAATTTTGACTCTTCAGAATGCCCATTGTATTCTACCTTAAGATCAGATATGTGTATTGAGGACTTATGGTTGGGGACAGGGTGATAAATCTTTTATAGGCAGAGAATGTATTTTAATCAGTCTTTTTGGATTCCCCATAGAAACCAGCATGATGTGCCATGAATGTTTTTGAAGCTAATGAATCCATTATGTTAATATTTCCACAAACAGCAAATTTAGGTCAGCCTTCACAAATCACCATCAGACGACAGAGAGAGCAGAGAGACAGACACAGAGAGAACACTGACTGGGAGAGTTGGTAGAGTTATGCCTTATTTTTAACATTTTCTCTAGTCAGATTGGTTCTTTCATCTTCACTGGTAGATTTGTTGTTGTTAATCTCAGCTGGATGGAATCTAATCTGTTTGTGGGAATGAGGCTGGCTATCGTTAGCATTTAAGAAGAAGCCCCTTACTTTAACAGGTAGCACACTTTATGCCTGGATTTCCCTAATGTGAGATGGAACCCCAGGTCCAGAGACCCCTCCCTGAAGACTGTCAGATAGCTATTAACCAAGTGGCATCTTATGAGCTCCATATCAGCGATGCTTATTCATCCATGGTGAGTATGAGCTCTTAGGCCACTGTAAGGAAGGTTTGAGCTCTGATTCAGCTGACGATTTATCTTCTATTAATAATGTGGTTGTTTGTAGTCTGATGCTCCATGAAACAGCAACTCAGGTGGCTAGGATATTGCTGCTCTGTGGGCCAATGATTCTGAGCCGTGATTGTGATCTATGGGCTATGATAGCAAGAATCATAGCTCTCTAGTGGGTTCCCAGAACTACTAGGACATCAAACACTGATGGTGGCTGAATAAAAAATTTTACTCACATACGTTTCTTATAATTAATGTTCATATGTTAGGAGTGACAAAATGGATTCTATTACAATGTCAATTTATGCTAGACTTTCATGATGTGTCTGTGCAATTACTGGATATAAGTGCTATCGTATGGAGCTCACACATCTAACCTTTTAAGAGGCCATGATATCCAAGGATTAGGCACCAGCATTTTGGAATCTGGGTGACTGCTGTTTGAGGTGACCTAGGTTCAGGGAGAAAGCTGGGCCTTCTGGAAGTTGAAGGACAGAAAAAGCATCTAAGACTGACCAAGGAAGAGCAGGCCTCTTTCTGGACAAATACTGAGTCAACAAAGTAAGTTTGTGTGAGATTTCTAGTCTTAAATATCTGCTTCTCACCTCCAGTCTCCCCCTACGCTCACCTCTGTCCCAGGCCTGTTACTACAATGAAGAGATGGGAATACCTCCTTTTGCCAAATTCTTCCGGGAGCAGGCTGATGTGAAGAGGGAACATGCAAAGCAGCTCCTAAGATATCTAAGAAAACATGAGGGTATCGTCTGCCTTCCAGTTATTAAGGTGACTGTGTAACTTTGTTATGATGACCCCAAGGGGTCTTTTCTGGGTCTAGAGAACTAGATTACTAGTTGAGACCTAACTGGTTAGGTCACTGTGTTCCTCAATAGACTTCTTAGCAACTGCCTTTGAGGGCAAGCATGTGTCTTATTTGTAGCTCCTTAACACTTTATTTTGTCCAATTTTAGCCACTACATGCTTATTTGGCTTTTCTCAATTAGTGCTACACAAAGTACGGTCTCTGGACCAGCAGTATCTGCATCACCTGGGAGCTCATTAGAAATGCAGATTCATGGAGCCCACCCTAGACCTACTGAATCACATTCTCTGGGGATGGGGTCCAAGGATCTGTGTCTAAATAAGCTCTACAGATGGTTCTAATGCCCTATGAAGTTCAAGAAGCACTAGTCTAAAGGCTTCTTCCTAGAGCTGTTAGCATACTATTTCAAATCCTTAGTCTAATTCAGGTGCACATTCAGGTGTTTAATATGGCTGTCTCTTCAATGTAGTAGAACAAACTTGTTCACTGGGACAGACATTTCAAAGAAACGGTCTGAACCTTAGTTGGGAGTATTATATCCAGGTACATTCCTACCTGGAAAGAGAACTAAATGTCTGGCAACTAGAAATGAATCATCATCATGGAATTCCAAAGCCAATGGAATAATTGTGCTACTGGTTCCCATTCTTCGCAGCACATTAAAATCACCTGGAAATTCCAGATAGTTTTTCACACATGCTAAGAGCAAAACCAGTTAACTATCTAGAAAGTTATTGTTTTCTCTCCTCTTCTGCTCTAGCTCTCATAGACTAGACACTGCTGGATGTTGATGTCCATGTTGTAGCCCATACCAATTAAATCAGAATGGCTGGGGCTAAGAGCCAGGAATGAGTATTTAAGATCCTCTGTTGATTCCTTTGTGCTACAAAGCTTGAAAGCCATTGGCCTATGCAAATCCAATCATATGACCCTACACAGGAAGTAGGATATGAATGACAAAGCTGTGCCTGACGTCTGAAACTTGGGTCCCTATTCCTCTCCAACAGAGGCCTGATATAGATAACAGGGGAAGTGGCATACAAGCCCTAGAGTCTGCTCTGCAGTTGGAGAACATGTTAAGCAAGGCCCTGCAAAACTTGAAGATCCTGGTTTGTGAGAAAAGTGAAATTAATGTAAGTGGGTAACTGGGTCTCACAGACAGTGCCGTCTTTCACTTCTCATTATAACTTGCTTCTGGGAAATGGGCCAAAGGCAGTAGATCACCCACCATTTGCTCATTTTTCCCACAAGGAAGTATAGGAATTTATTTCTGGGGGTGGGTGTGGGGTAGAGATGCTGGTAAGGAATGCAAGTGAACACAGGATGATGTCTTTCCAGGAGTAATGCACTCTGGACAATTAAAATAACTATTCTGTTGCTGCCTTGTGAATCTCCCAGGCCAGTAGTGCTTTAACTTGAGTGAGCATCAGATTCACTTAGAGAACTTGTTAAAGCAAACAGCTGGGCCTCACCCCTGGTGCTTCTGATTCAGTACATTTGTGGTGAAGTCTAAGAATTTGCAGTTGTAACAAGTCCTCAGGTAATGCTGATGCTGCTGGCCAGGACCACACTTTGAGAACTGCTGTCCTAGGTTGTCCCAGCAAAGGCAGATGTTAATGGTGACCTATTACCCTACAGTCTTCTCTGCAGTTTTCCTGAACACTCTACCTTGCAGTGGTAACTCCTTTCTCACCAACGCCCTAGCTTCTCAGGAAGACAACGAGAAGAAAATGCCCTACTACAAAAGTTATAAACCCTAGATGCACATTGGACTGAGAAGCTCTGAAGAGGTACTAATGCCTGAGCCTTACACCAGACCACTTAAATCTAAATCTTTGGGAGTGTGGTCCGGGCAGCTACTCAAAACCTCCATGTGATTCAAATAAGCAGGGTTGAAAACCACTGCAGTAGTAAGTAGCTTGTTACTTAAAGTAATCTGTAGTTTTGATGAGATGCCCTAACACTTATCTACATTGAAACTGTACAGGGCATTAGAATCTTCTGGATACTTGTATTCACCTGGAGGTCTTGAATGTCTTAGATCAGTACTTCTGAACTTCAATATGTGTATGAATCACCTAAAAACTCGCCGCCGTCAAGTCGATTCCGACTCAGAGTGACCATATAGGACAGAGTAGAACTGCCCCATAGGGTTTCCAAGGAGCAACTGGTGGATTCAAACTGCTGACCTTTTGGTTATCAGCTGGAGCTCTTAACTACTGTACCACCAGGCCTCCATGAATCACCTAGTCCCTTAAAATTCATGTTCTGATTTAGTAGGTCTGGGGTGGGACCTGAGATTCTGCATTTCTGACAAACTCCCACGACTGCTGGTCCATGGATTACAATTTGAGTAGCAAGATCTTGGATAGCCTCTCATTGATCCTTAATATGGAACCTTCTCTGTCTTATTTCTGTAGCTCTCAGGCTTCGTGAGAGAATTTCTGGATAAACAGATGAAGAACATAGAGTATCTGGAATACCATCTTGTCTATCAGAAGGAATTAGAAGAGCTGGTTCAGCAGGAAGCCCTGTTTGTAAAGCCTGCTGCCAAGTCAGATGAATAACTCTGCACTTACCATCATGGCAGGACGTCTGTACTTAAATTCCCTAATCTTCTCCAAATGCCAGAAGACTCCTTTTCCTTTTTATCTACTATCCTATTCCTCGTTGTTTTGCATGCAAATAAATCTGCTTTGCATTATAATTGTGTAAAGAGAATGCTACTGGAGCACAAGAAGAGTTAGTTTTACCAGTGTGGAATCGGTGAAGGCTTCCTGAGTGACAATGGTGCATTAGACTTTAAAAAAAAAAAAAAAGACTTTCCCAATCTTCCCTCATGGCCTCAACAACACCCAGATGACAGAATCGGGATTTGGTAAATCCTATCAGTTCAAGTAGATCTGCTGGAAATTAAGTGGTAGAACCTCAGGTCTCACTTATGCCCCACACATGCATACATACTTTAAGTTTATAAAGCAGTAGGGGGTCTCTTCAAAGCTAACCTTGAAAGAGGAGACCCCTTGGTCTGGAATGACTCTTACCTGAAAGGTGTACAGTGGATGGGCAGCTGCATGCAGGTGCGCTTTCATAGCCAGGGGTAGGCACAGGGAGCATGACGGTACATAGAGGTGATTAAGATACTGTAGCCAAGTATGTGGGTGCCCCTACCCCGTCTGCCATGGGCCAGCTAGCAGCTACTGAGGCAACTGCTTTCAAGGGTAAAAATGAGCATGCAAGCTTAAGTCAGACCCCTCAAGGCCTCATGTGACTGGTTGTTGTTAGCTGCCATCGAGTCAACTCTGATAAACCTTACGTTAAAAAAGAACAAAACATTGCCTGGTCCTGCATCATCCTTATAATCACCGTCATGTTTGAGTCCACTGTTGCAGCTATTGTGCCAATCCATCTAACCAAGGGTCTCCCACACCCTTATTGGCCCTACTTCACCAAATATTATGTCTTCCTCTAGCAACTGATCCCTCCTGATGACATGTCCAAGCCAGCAAATCAGACAATGTTCTGTTGTGATCCATAAGTTTTAATTGGTAATTTTCAAAAATAGATCACCAGGCCTTTCTTGCTAGTTTGCCTTAGTCTGGCAGCTCCACTGAAATCTGTCCACCATGGGTGACCCTCCCGGTATTTGAAATACTGGTGGCATAGCTTTGAGCATCACAGCAACATGCAAGCCACTATAGTACACCAAACTGACATAGAGGTGGTGGCATGAAGCTAGTATTACCAGGTAAGAACACAGGGGTTCTTTAGGATTGTGTCCTAGCTCCAAAAATTACTAACACAATGGCCTTGGGTAAGTTTTTACCTCCTCATTGCTTCAGTTTACTCATCTGTAAAGTGGAGCTGATGGTACTTACTTCACAGAATTAATAGAATTAAGCAAATTAATACATATAAAATGTCTAGAACAGCACCTGCTCAGATTATACATTCTGTTAGCTTGTATAATCGTGCTACCTCTTAAACTTGAGGAAAGTCAGTGACATGGAAAAGAACACACATAAACAGAGGCACTTAACAACCAGAAAGTAAGTGACTGAAATTGAGACAGAAACTTAAAACAGTTAATATCCTTAGAAAGGAGTACCTTGTTTGAAACAAGAACAAGTGGTCATCAGAAAAAAACCAATGAGATACCTCAGAAACAATTCAAGTTAATAAATGGATTAAATATCCAAATAGATACAGCTAATCAAACAAGCCATCTAAAAGAAAGCTTACCAGGACCAAATGGCTACACTGGAGAATTCTACCAAACAGTCAGAGAAGAGTTGACACCAATCCTTCTCAATCTCTTCAAAAACTCAGAAAAGGAAGGAATACTACCGAACTTTTTCTGTGAAGCCAGTATAACCCTGATACCTAAGCCAGGCAAAGATATCACACAAAAAATTACATCCCTTGTGAACATAGGTCAAAAATTTTCAACAAAATTCTAGCCAACAGACTTTAGCAATATATATTAAAAAAAAAAAAAAAAACATACACCAAGATCAAGTGAGATTCATACCAGGATTACAAGGATGGTTCAACATTAGAAAATTAATCAATGTAATCCACCACGTAAATAAAAGAACCATATGATCATATCAATCGATACAGAAAAGGCATTCAATAAAATTCAACATCCTTTCCTGATAAAAACCCTCAGCAAAATAGAAATAGAAGGGAAATTTCTCAACATAATTAAGGACATATATGCAAAACCAACAGCCAACATTATACTCAGTGGAGAAAGGCTGGGAGCCTTCCCTTTGAGAACAGAAATGAGACAAGGATGCCCATTATCATCTCTCTTATTTGACATTGTACTGGAAGTCCCAGGCAAAGAAACAAGAAAGAGAAATAAAAGGTATCCAAATCAGAACGGAAGAAGTAAAACTATATTTGCAGATGACATGATCCTATACATAGAACATCCTAACAATTCCACAAGAAAACTGCTGGAACTAATAGAATTTAGAAACATTGAAGGGTACAGGATCAACACACAAAAATCAGTTGGCCTCCTTTACACTAGCAAAGAGTACTCCAATAAAGAAATCAAGAAAACAAGACCATTTATGATAGCCCCCAAATCAATTAAATAGCTAGGAATTAACCTAACCAGGGACATAAAAGACTTGTACAATGAAACTTATAAAACACCATTACAAGAGATTAAAAGAGACCTAGGAAAATGGAAAGACATCCCGTCTCATAGATCGGAAGATTAATATAGTAAAAATGTCAATTCTACCTAAAGTGATCTACAGATACAATGCAATCCCAACACAAATCCCAACAACATTCTTTACTGGGATGGAAAAACTAATGACCAACTTCATTTGGAAAGGAAAGAAACGCTGAATAGCCAAAGCAATACTGAAGAAAAACAACAAAGCAGGAGGCCTCACACTCCCTGATATCAAAACATAGTATACAGCCACTGTAATCAAAACAGCCTGGTCTTGGTTCAATGATAGACACATAGACCAGAGGAATAGAATTGAGAACTCAGAATTAAACCCAGTGGTCTATGGACAATTGATTTTTGACAAGGGGTCAAGTCCTTTCAGTGGGGCAGAAACAGTCTCTTTAATAAATGATGCTGGCAGATTGGATATCCACCTGCAGAAAAATGAAACAGGACCCACCCATACCTTATACCATACATAAAAACTAACTCAAAATGGATCAAAGACCTAAATGTTAAACCTAAAACCATAAAATTCCTGGAGGAAAACATAGGGAGAAAACTATGGGAACTAATCTTGGGTATTAAACATAACAACAAATGCAAAAATAGAAGAAGACAAAATAGATAGATGGGACCTTATAAAAATTAAAAATTTATGCTCATCAAAAGACTTTATTAAAAGAGTAAATAGGAAACCTACAGACTGGGAAAAAAGTCTTCCAGAAATGACTCGTCTGATAAGGGTCTAATCTCTAAAATTTACAGGGAATTGCAACAACTCAACAACAAGAAGACAACCCAATCACAAATAGACAAAGGATATGAACTGAACCTTCCCCAAAGAGGACATCCAAGCAGCCAGCAAACATATGAAAACATATGCACAATCATTAGCCACTAGAGAGATACAAGTCAAAACTACACTGAGGTAACATCTTGTTGTTGTTGTTAGGTGCCGTCAAATCTGTTCCAACTGATAGCAACCCAACGTACAACAGAATGAAACATTGCCCGGTCCTACACCATCCTCACAATCGTTGCTGTGTTTGAGCCCATTGTTGCAGCCACTGTGTCAATCCATCTTGTTGAGGGTCTTCTTTTTCAATGACTCTCTACTTTAAAGTATAATATCCCTCTCCAGGGACTAGTCCCTCCTGACAACATGTCCAAATTGTGTGAGACGAAGTCTCACCATCCTTGCTTCTAAGGATCATTCTGGCTGTACTTATTCTGTTTGTTCTTCTGGAATTCCATAGTATATTTAATATTCTTCACCAACATCATAATTCAAACACATTAATTCTTCTTCAGTCTTCCTTATTCATTGTTCAGCTTTCGCATGCGTATGAGGTTATTGAAAACACCGTGGCTAAGATCAGATGCACCTTAGTCTTCAAAGTGACGTTTTCACTTTTTAATACTTTAAAGAGGTCTTTTGCAGCAGATTTGACCAAGGCAATGAGTTGTTTGGTTTCTTGACTGCTGCCTCCATGGGCGTTGACTGTGCATCCAAGTAAAATGAAATCCTTGACAACTTCAGTATTTTCTTTATCATGATGTTGCTTATTGGTCCAGTTGTGAGGATTTTATTTTCTTTATGTTGAGGTGTAAACCATACTGAAGGCTATAGTCTTTGATCTTCATCCGTAAGTGCTTCAACTGATTGTGGATCCAAGTAAAATGAAATCCTTAAATAGGGCTGGAGGTGGCAAAATGCCCTCCTGGAACCAATAGGTACATAAATGCAAAAAGATAAGACTTCGTAAAGAATCATGAAGACAAACTAAAGTTGGATGAAATCAGTTGATTTTGTGACTACAGAAAAGAGAAATACTGAGTTAGAAGAATCAAAATCTCTTAGCCTGGCTTACTATCCTGGTCCCTTCTGACTTATAGGAAATTCCTGTAAATAGCTGATCCAGAAGTCCCCAACTCATACAACAATGCAAAATCAGATTTAAAGAAAAAATCTTTGTCATGGAATCCATATAGATGTTATTAGAAAAGAGACTTGGTGGCTCAGTTAAGGGCTCAGCCGCTAACAGAAAATTGGGCAGTTTGAACCCATCCATGGGCTCCCTGGGAGAAAAAACCTGGTGATCTGCTCCCATAAAAATTACAGCAAGAGACACCTATGGGGCTCTGCCGTGTCATGTGGGGTGGCTATGAGTCTGAAAATGACTGGACAACTCAACTGCCCCAACAGGAGAAAAAGGAAGGAAAATAAAAGACAGCTTATTAGCGTATGAAGAAGACTTATAAAAATATTGCCAAGAAACAGATTAGAACTGTGAAAAAAATTTTAATTTTTAGCCATTCTAGGGAGGATATAGTGTATCCCACTGTGGTTTTAATTTGCATTTCCCT